GATGTACTGGAGTACTTTTGAGTCACTGACAAAAAGTAGTGGATGCTACTTGAAATGTCTGACAGTTTTCAAAATCTATCCAGTTGCTCAATAGCTAACATTTTTCTTATGTATCTCATTACCTGAATGTCTAACCTACATTGGCATATATTGAAATACTAGTTTTTAACCTCCTTGCTTCTACTGCACAATTTGGAAAGTGATTCTATGGACAAAAAGTCGAGAAAGTATCCCTCAACCGAAACGGGGGACGCCACAAACTTTCTGCCACTTATGATGCACTGCTCACCAAGCCACGTGTGTCATCTGCATAACGTGAGGTCACAGAAGCGGTGGATTGCTCATTCCATGGCAAAAACTCGATTTGTACCGTCAAATATTTTGACAATTTTTGTGTGTGCGTGTTGGACATTACAGTTCAAACCTGTTTCAGAAAAGCGAGACAGACTGACTCATAGATGGTTTATCATTTACTTGGTGAGGTAAAGACTTGTCACAATTGTACATGTAACGTTAATATTATAATTATGTAGTACATAAAACATTAGCTTGATATTAGTCTTAAAAAAAAACAACTGAAATACACACATTTCAAATAACATGACGTCTATACGTGAAAGCAAAAATGGTTTGGCTTTGCATGTAACATTACACATTGTAATGTTGTATACAATGTTGGTATATGCAGAAAAGTCAGTCATAGCATAATTAAATACACAACATTTCTACATTAATGTGCTTGCATACAAAATGAATTCCAACTTGGAAATATGAAGATAACTTTCCCAACACTATTCAGACATAATTTCTAGCCACACCACATTATGAAATACATGTATGCCCATATCAGGGCCATTTAAGCCAAGCTAATTTAGAGTACTTGTATTTCCCAATCCAGTGTAAATGTACATAATGCACTGAAACTAGCCGCAATCTTTTCACTGATGGGTAATATACTAAGGACACGGTTCATTATTAAACATACAAAACAGGTAAAGCAATTGAACAGAAAAGTTCTTTATTCACGACCGCTTATTTAACAAGAGCTGACATTTCGTTGACTCAATTTCATTCCCATTTCACAAATCTGCAACAATTATACACTTTTCCTTTAAGTACCAAATAAACCCTTGGACTGACTAATTTCTTGGCCTGAGCATTACTTCCTATATCTTAGCCTTGACAAAAGGGAAAACAAGAAAAAAATCTCACTTCTCAATCTTTTAGTAGCTTTAACCAATACATTTTGGATCGCAACATCCACGATATTAGACATTTTTAATCTCTTTAAAGCAGCAAGATTTGTTGCAGAGCACCTAGATCACTAGGAAGGCCTTTATTCAGACATTATTGAGGAATGACTGTTTTTCTGACTTTAGATGCAATTTATCAAACGTTGTAAGTCCAACTATCATATAACCTAACATCTGAGTGATCTGACACATTACTCTCCAGAACTTTTTGACATAGCCTTTAGTTATTGTATTATGATTAGACAAGTTAAATAGCAATCCATCTACTTTTTAGAGTAGCGACACCAAAGAGAAGATGTTAAAATGTCTCTACCAAGTTGGTTATTGTGAGCATCAGAGCAATTCAACTATTTCAAGGCCTTTAAGTACCAAATATTAAAACAATATTTATTATCATTATTTGCTCTGGAAGAAATTGGCCTTCTACTGGCAAAACAGACGCTGAAGACAATCAAGGAAAAGATTCTCACTTTGTACACTTGTATCTTTTCTTGTTTTGTTTTGTGGCACACACATAATTATATAGAACAGAATCATGCATAAAAAATCATTCTGTATAGCAAATTAAAACTATAAAAACAAAGAATTTCACAAAACAAGGACGTAACATTCTGATTATTTGTCCAAAATTATTTCCCCATAGTGGACTTGAAATAATAAACATGTATCTGTTCTGGATGTGGTCAAAGCCTGTGTTCTATTTTGGACATAAAACTATGGTAATATCACACTAATCTAATTCCAAACAGCGTCAAGTTTTCCGTTGACAATTTGGAAATTGTTGGGACTACACTGTCAGGAATTCTCTTTACACAGTGATCACACTGTTGCCAGTACTGCTGTCTAAAGTGGGCCTAAGAGGACAGTTTTGAGCTGTTCATTTTTCAGCTGTACACTTTTCTGATGTGAATAAGGTCACGTGTTTGTAACCGTAACTCTAGCGAGATCACGTTGTGAAGTGATTGGTCAATAATTATCCTGATGAAGGCGACAGCGGTCGCTGAAAATTTGATAATTGTGTTGTGTGTTGGAATAAAGTTTAATGTTTTACTATGATTACTACCAACACAGATGGACTTGATGTTTCTGGAGTGTATGGATGGGAGAGTTTTCAGCTGTACATGTTCCTGGTGTGTTCAGACGTTGTGTTTTTGGTCTCCTTGAGTTTGTTGACAGCTAACTGCAGGTCTGACATAGTGATGGGGCGGAGTGTCGGCTGTCCACTGTCTGTCTGGGACTCTTCTGGCCTGGAGTGGGAGGTGGGGGAAAAGGGTTAGAGTTTTAAGTGCTAAAAATTTCCCACAAAATATACCTAAACTTATTGCACAACTATGATGTCTTTCTTTGTCATGCAAATACATAAACCAGGCTGCATAAACAATAAACAAAAACAAAACTTTTACAAATTAGACAACATCCGTCATTGTCACTACACAGTAACAGGACTACAATTGTATCCAGAACAGTGCCTATCTAGTTCTATGCCCGAATGGGATAGGACCAGGCATGGTTCTGGATAGTCTTTGCATGTCCAAGAACGTAGATTTGCCCCAAGCACGGTTCTGGATATGCGTGGACAATCCAGAACCATGCCTAAGCAAGCACTGTTCTGGACAAAGCACGGTTCTGGATAAAGCACAGTTCTGGATATGACTGCCACTCACTTTGCAGGTGCGCCTCCCACTGCACCTTCCACAGTGCCCCCTGTGTCTCCAGCCTGGTCCTGCACCTTCTGCTCATCTGTCTGTTGTTGTTGTTGGTCTTGTTGTTGTTGTTCTTTCTCCTTATTGGCCTTCTCCTCCTTCATGAGATCCCGTACGCGGTACACGGACGCGTTACGACAAACCTCCCGCAAGTCACTCCCCGAAAACGTGTCCGTCTGCTCCGCGATTTTCCTCAACTTCACATCTTCAGACACCTGCGAAAATTTGCAAAACTTACTGTGATTTACCAACATAGCATGCAGGTAGTCACGAACTGGATATGATTTTGGAAACGGTCAGACATTTCAGGTAGCATCCACTACCTTTCGTTAGTGACTGAAAGAGATCTGTAGTCATTTCATTTATTTCGAAACCGTTTAGCCCTGCTGGGTTAGTCTTCTACAGAAACCAAAAGAAGATACAGAACCATACTTACAACTTCATTTGCCAGGATGAGCTGTAAAATGCTTTCTCTTTGTTTCTCATTCTGTAATAAAGAAACAAAAGATAATGGTAAGCAACAATCATATAATCAATATTCTGAATGAAAACACAATGTATAATGTAGCAAGAAAATTCTGTTCAGTTTATTCTTATTCAACTGCATTCTATAGATTAGCTGATAAAGTTTGAAGTCAAAGATTCAATTGTAGAAGTTTCTACCTTGCTACATTACTGAAATCAATCACTACCAGTAACCATGGTGACTGCCAGTACCAGTGTCTCCTGAAGTGACCAGATTTGTTTGGTACAGAAGAGGAGGAAGAAGGAAAAAGGACGTTTTCCTTCTGCAAAGGTAAACATAATGAAGAAACTTACAGGTACATTGATCCAGAACCTTGATGGCATCCGTCTGAGGATAGCCTGGTCCACGTCCTGAGGTCTGTTGGTGGCTCCCATCACCATAACTTTACATCTGGAAACAGGACAACAAATACTGAATAAGAAGGTTCTTTACTCCACAACCAGTGGATTTTTACATGCAAGATCTCAAAATAAGACATCAAAAACTGTATAAACTTTCAACCAGTGTTGACGTCACACTTCAGAGAAGCCACATGACAAGCCTCACTGGGTCAGTCTACTGAGGAAGACCAGATCTAGAGTGTCTGGTCGAAAGCTCTAGGCTTCAAACACTGTATAAGGTTATTTATCCAACCACCTGTGGACTTTCACATCCAAAGTTTCAAGACAAGACATCAAAAACCACTGAATAAGAGGGTTCTTTATTCAACAAACAGTGGGTTTTTAAGTCCAAAATTTTAAAATACGACGTCAAAAATGTACAACAAGGTTCTTTATTCATCCTCCAGTGGGTTTTCACATCCAACATTTAAAAAAAAAAGACATCCAAGACTGTATAACTATAAGAAGGTTCTTCAATGATTAACAACCAGTGGGATTTTACATTTGACATTTCGTTGACCATCTGTCACCATCTTCAGGACAAGAATGACTGGTTCTGATTCATACTGCAGCTAGGTGTCACTGCTGCAATATTACAATTGTGGTCCAGACATGATAACAATATTAATCTCACTGAAAAGTGGCCAGCAGGCTGATTTTGATTATTTCACAAAAGCTTAAGGCTAAAATAAACAAATAAACAAACAAACAAACCTTGGGTTAGTTGCCAGTCCGTCCCAGAGTGACATGAACTCTGCCTTCATCATGGCGGTGGCCTCGTGGTCCTGAGACTGACGGGTTCTCAGGAATGAGTCAATCTCATCGATAAAGATGATCGCAGGCTGTATCTTAGTGGCCTGGAGGGAGGGATAGCACATTAGCAGGTTCAGATACGCTGTGCAGTGGCAGCTGGCTACATTACACCAAATGACTTGTTAAAATAAAATGTAATCCTTGAACATCTAATTCTAAATATTCAAAAGCTATCTAATAACAATGCCCCCTAGTGTACTTTGTGACATGAAGTTCCACTCTGCGATAGTTCTAGGAAAGAATGAATCTTTGAACACCTCAATCCTTGGTTGATAACTCTGGTACTTGAGTTGAAGGCATGACTGTCTATATTCTTGTTCTTTTCTGAGCTGGTATCAGGTACTTTGTAGTTTGTATTCACCAGATAAAAGACAGCAGAAGCCAGTCTCTGAGACTCTCTGTACCACTTGCCTGTCACCTGTGTCTGTCTGTGTGTCTGTCTGTATGTGTATATACATATATCTAACTCTGAGTAACTCACCAGATGAAACACAGCCGATGCCAGCCGTTGTGACTCCCCGTACCACTTGTCTGTCAGCACGGAGGGCTGCAGGTTGATGAAGCGACATCCTGCCTCTTTGGCCGTCGCCTTGGCGATCATGGTCTTCCCACAGCCTGGTGGGCCGTACAGCAGCACACCTGTGGAGATTCAACCTTTATCAAATTGACTGGCAAAGATGCATACAACTAGATTACCTACTAGAACTGTTCATTATTGACGAATGTTACAGTAAATTATACTGACTTTCAGGCTGTATGACTAATTTTAAGTCAATGATCATCGATCTACAAAAGACAATATAGATCATATTAAACATAAATCAATTGGTGTATATCTATGTTTATCAACGAAAAACATATTGTTTTTGCTGTTTTTTTTCCCTCTTCTGCCGTTCAAAAGAAATGACCTGAACCAGATGTCTGTCACCATGGTAACTAGCGGTGGGTTACATCATGTTGCAATTTTATAGCAGGAGGGATTTACACTCCTGTCACCATATATATGAATGTATTTGAGTAAGAATTAACAGAGCAGACCATATGTGAAGGTAAACATTATGTTTTTGCTTTGCAAGTGCTACCTTTTTAGTTTTCAATAGATTTAATTGAACGTTGCGGCTACCTTTAGGTGGCTGTAGGAGCTGTGACCCTTCAAACATGGAGTGTTTCTGGAAGGGGACGATGACGGTCTCCTGCAGCTCGTTGATGGTGTCCTCCAGACCGGCGATGTCTGTCCAGGACACCGTCATACTGCCGGGGTCAACCAGATGGGCAGCTATGGTCAGCTCATACTCATTCAACTACAGGGGGGGGGGGATAATAGTTAGAACCATTAATTTTTGCTCAGAAGAAGGTGACAGACCGTCTGTGTGTGTGTGAGCATTGTTGCCCTGAAAAAGGTGACTGATGGCTACTGAAACATTGGATGTGAAAACCCATTTTTGAAAAAGCAAAAAGCAACCTTGTACAAATACAGTCTCTAATGCCAACCTGAATACATTTGTGTATACTACTAGTATATACATGTATCAGTGTACGTGTACATGTATGTGTATCAATACTAGTAGTAAGTACTTCACTCAGTCTTCAGTTAAAAAGCTCTTACCCTGACTCCAGATATTCCAAGTTTCTTCATGATTGCACTGGCCTGAAAAACAAAGAAAATGGTCATTAACTCATTATATATGACTTCAAAAACATCCAATATGGTAACATTTTCAATGTTGTTCACTGTCAATTACATGTATATACATACAATATGTGTACACTCAAGACTCAAAATTTGTGTTGCTAAGAACCGTAAAAATCTGAGCGACTTCAATCTTAGTAAGAAGACAAGTTCAAGTTGAACTCTTACCTTCTTCTTGGCCTCCACTTTCTGTTTCCTAGTGGGGTCCACCTGGTCCAGGAGCCACTTGAGAGTGTAGTAAGAGATCGCTGCCGAGGCCGCCATCTTTAGCAGCAGGAGGAACGCCTGGCTCTTAGACATGTTACTCTCTACTCTGAACTCCATAGTGGATTCTTAAACAGTTTCTTCTGTTGCTGCTTTGTCCTTTGTCCTAAATACTGCTTTGTCGTTGTCTGGTCAGTTGTTGTCACAAAAGCTGTGGATATGACATTATGACATATATTTGCATGTTCACAAATATTGAATTCACATTTTCAATGTTAATAGTGATGTGTTTGTTGAAATTTTTGCTCTTCTTTCTTTTGAATATTCCCTTTTCATCTAAATGATCATGTTAAAGAACAAAGAACGCGTAGCCATAACGTAATGCATGTACCACAAACATGAGTTGATTTAGGCACTTATCCGTGATTTAGGTGATTTCGTCGTCATATTTTCATGAAAAATGATCTTATATTTTTAATATTTGACAGATCAGGTTTCTGTATCTATAACCTTGATATTTGGTGGGAATAGATAGAAAAATTTCACTAGAGTTTGTGAAACTACAAACGTAAATTTGAACTTGCATGACGTAATAAAATTTCACTTTCTTTTACACAAAACGATGCAAATTACTATAGAAATAACGACGTTACAAACCTCTTTTGCCAGCCAAACTCTTCTACGCATTATCCAATAAGTGAAAAGTATACTTTTTACGACATCGCGGTGACTAAGAGTGGAAAATTCTGGAAACAATGAAGGTCAAGACAAACTCACTGAACTTCCGCCATTTTGCAATCACCTGTCTCATCTGCGCAAAGGATGATGGGAAGTATGGACCATTCCATTCACAACTTAGGGGTGTTAATACTAGTACTCCAGTAGTCTTACTTTTGTCCATGCAAAATGAATGGCTTTTCTTAGGAGTACTTTGCGTAAATGTGTATGGCATATATTCAAAAGTATCTCGTATCTGGTATATAAGATGTTCCAAAGACAGCTCAGCAAAGTGTTTCAGATTCACAATAATTGTCAACAAGTCAAGAAAATGTGAGAAGACAAAGAAAGGTACTAGTACTGAGCTAAAATGATTGTATTTTAGGTAACGTTACCTCACCATCAAACTGATAAGAAAGACACTAAATCACTTGAATGAAGAACAGTTTCTATTGATCATCATCAGTATATAAATACTGACCAAATAATCTTTGTAACTTATTACAAAGTGATTTTTATGTCAATACCACGAATATTCAAATGTTACCCCCTAATATCCTAGAACAATAAAAGAACATAAATGAAGATAAGCAAGTTTATAAAACCATCAATGTAGTACTAGTATTCAAAGCACAAAGTTTTTCTTGCAAAATAAGAAAATCTCAGACCATGACAGTTTGACATATCAATAGTCCAACCATAAGTCCGAAGCTGTAGCAGAAGTTGTTTCTAAAATAAATGAGGCACACAGGCATAGTGACTGGAGAGGGACTTTTCTGTTATTTAATAACCCTGAGTACACACCAGAACATATAAGAGTAAGTTTCATACTAGACTTTTAAATTTTACCACAGTAGCAAAAGTCGTGATAGCGAGTCTTATTGGATGTAGCCAAAGTGTTGGTCTTCAAAATATTAAACATATCATCAAAAAGAACTTAAATCATGAGAGCACATTTTATTTGCATTTCAAGTACAGTCATTTTTAGGAAGTTAACTTGTTGTTCTTTACAATATTCAACATATCGTTGAAAAGAACTGAAATAAAAATCATGACAGTACATTTTACTTTGAAGATCAGGTACTTTAGAAAGTTTATTTTTGGCTTTACATAGCTTAAGTGTTGGTCTTCAGAATACTCAATGTATCGTTGAAAAGAACTAAAATTAAAATTATGAGAGTATATTTTACTCAAAGTTCAAGTATGGGCATTTTCAGAAAGTTGACTTGGCTTGACATAGCCAAAGTGCTCTCTCTCTATCAGGTTTAATGTCCAAAGTGCTGGTTTTCAGCAGAATATTCAACATATCGTAGAGAAGAACTGAAATGGAAATTCTATGGAGAGGTCCAGTTGTGACATCAGTAGCCTCCCCGACCCCTGCCTCGGAACCCACCACCACCACCTGCAAAAGGGGGAAGAAAAAAGGGGAATAAACAAACAAACAAACGTTTACCTATTTGTTACGTCAAGGGTCCGTTGGCAATATACGAATGCAAGGCACAAATTTCATGTTTACTATACCTAAGAGTGTTACATCTACTCTGAAAGTACATGCACAACCATGTTTATGGCAATTTGTAAACTGATACCAATTTAACAAAGGAGTTATTCTTATTTTTTTTCCAGTTGACTGTTACTGTCCATGTTATAGACTATATAGAGTATGTGAGTGTTTTGATTATCTTTACCACTATAATATACATATGCTGATTGCTGCGTGTTTTTAATGACAGTCTAGTCCCGCTAATGACAGAATATCGCAATTTTAAGATACTGCCAAACGTGCTGAGAAAAAAACCCTACGAAACTCACCCCTTCCTCTGAATCCACCCCCTCCTCCTCTACCCCCTCCGCGGCCCCCTCGGAACCCCCCTCTTCCACCGAACCCTCCTCTTCCACCGAACCCCCCCTCGGCCTCCTGAAAAGAAAATAAGACATTGAAGATTTCGTACATTGAAGATTACTTACTGTGGCTCTACTCCATAAAATAGCTATGGACACACAAACATGCAAACACACAAACAAAAACTCTGCACATGATGTATTTACATTGTATACGAATAATAATTATTCAAAACATTGGTCTAAGGTATGGGAAAACCGTCCAAATGTCAACCATTGTATGTGTCTAAATCACAAAACCAACAGAAGGGCTCTTACCTCTTCCGCCACCCCTCCCTCCTCTTCCACCACCCCTGCCTCTCTTTGCCCCTGGAGGCTGGGGGAGGAATCTCTGTAATGGGAGCAGCTTTTCTGTGCTAATGTAGAACTGTGAAGGAAAGATGGGAGTAAAGTTAAAACTGGGAAAACAAATATCATGCGATTGATGATATTTAATAACTAGAAAGGTAACACTTGCGAAGCAAATGCATTATGTTTACCTTCACATACTGACACAGTCCAACCTAACAAAACTTTACTTGCTTGGAGAAGAAGAAGAAACAGAGCAAAACAATTTGTTTTCATTCTGCAAAAGTAACAAAGAAATGTTCTGTTTCTCTACATTGTGACTTTAAAGTTTAAAGAACTGAGTTAAAAATGCAGGCCTGAAGCATAACCTACCTTTTGGTCTTTGGAGAAGGAATGAGCCTTCATGTTATCTGAAAGTTTCACAGAGAAATACTGGGGGGAGTTAAGGAAATACCTGCAGAGATTATCCTAAGTTTGATTGACAGAAGTATAAGATACTACGAACTGAAATGGATTTTCACCACAAAATTTTAAGTCTTAAAAGACTAGTACTGAAAACTTAAGGACTTAAGCTTAAGGATGCATAGTTCTTGATGCCTTGGAGGAACTTGTCCCAGTTTTTGTGATGAACTCATCTTCTGTTTTACAGTTACTACATTTGTACCACAAAATCAAAGACACAACAGTTGGTTTTCATCACAAACTTTAAGACTTAGTACTGAATGAGTGAGAGTGAGTGAGTGAGGGAGTGAGTGAGTGAGAGTGAGTGAGTGAGTGTGAGTGAGAGAGTGAGTGAGTGAGAGTGAGTGAGAGAGTGAGTGAGAGTGAGTGAGTGAGGGAGGGAGAGTGAGTGTGAGTGAGTGAGAGAGAGTGAGTGAGCGGGTGAGAGAGTGAGTGAGAGTGAGAGAGTGAATGAGTGAGTGAGTGAGAAAGTGAGGGCGAATGAGTGAGTGAGAGAGTGAGTAAGAGTGCGAGTGAATGAGTGAGTGAGTTAGAGAGTGAGTGAGAGAATGAGTGAGAGTGAGTGTGAGTGAGAGAGTGAGTGCGAGTGAATGAGTGAGAGAATGAGTGAGTGAGCAAGAGAGAGAGAGAATGAGTGAGTGAGAGAATGAGTGAGTGAGTGAGTGAGAGAATGAGTGAGTGAGAGAGTGAGTGAGAGAGTGAGTGAGTGAGTGAGAATGAGTGAGTGAGAGTGAGAGAGTGAGTGAGTGAGCGAGTGAATGCCAACTTAAAGGGACTCTCCAGAAGGAAAGCTGTATCTGTAAGGATACGTAGTCCTTGATTCCTCCGAAGATCTCGTCCACCTTGCCGATCTGCTCCTTATTCTCCAGGTAGATGGGGGCGTTGAAGTACGGAACCTTTTCTACAAGGTCAGCCTTACACACAAGGTCACCTTCACAAGGATGGACATAGTGGCCGGCTTCTACAGAGGGCACATCAGAAAGGTACATGTAAGCAAGGTAGAATACTACTCAAACTAAAATATGCAGGGTTTTGATACTGTTGTAGTGTAGTATAAAAGAATCTATTTATAATATTTGATTTGGTTGTTTAGTATATACACAGCCAGGGCTGTGGCTATTGCAAAGGGCTAGCCCTGCTGACATTACAAAATGGAGAATTACATTGACAGAATACTATAACACTTTTCTGGGTACATAAAGCATTGTACAAAAAGGACTCAGTAGCGTCTATGTGTGTGTATGATATGGAGAGGCTAGGGTCAGCGCACACACATGTAAGGGTCGCCAAGACAGTCCCAGAGCTTCCTTTTGAAGGTGGCAGTGCAAAAATTTGTTGTCTATTACAAACACTTGAGCAGTGAGTACCCCTTAGCAATTCATAGGTGAACTGCATCTCCCCAAAAAACAATTTCTCCATTCACCTGTGACCTCCGCTGAATATGCAGGTTTTTGATATCATGTTTTTTTTAATGCAAGACATGAGCACCCCCTAGCAATTCACAACTGAACTGCATCTCCCAAAAGACAATAATTCCTCCCTTTACCTGTGACCTCTGCAGGGGGTCCCTGGTCGTAGTTGTTGTACCCTCCTCTCCCCCTTCCCCCTCCACGACCTCTGAACCCTCCACGCCCGCCGCGGTCACCTCCAAAACCCCTTCCACGGCCTCCGAATCCGCCGCCGCGGCCACCCCGGAAACCCCCTCCACCTCCTCGGAAAGACATCACTGCACGCTGGTAAACCTGGAAAACGGCATAATTAACTCAAGTTTAAGTAAACGTTAATTGTTTCTGTACTATTTTTGTATCAGTATAGTCAGTATAACCACCTAATCTTTGTACATTTAATTGCAGGAGTTGTTTAAAGCTTTTTAGTGACATGCCCCAACTGTGCTTGGTGGCAACGAGTTCCAGTCTACGATAGTTCTGGGGAAATACGAGTTTTTCAACACCTCAATTCTTGGTTGATAACTCTGATATACATGTCTTAAACTTTTGAAAGCTAGAGAAGATCAACAAAACGCGGAAAACCAAGAAAAACCCACGAACAAACTTTGTTTAGAAATTTCTACTTTCAGCTGCAGGCACACACGTGTATATGGCTGCCCCCCTCCCCACCGGCTTTTAAACAAAGCGATTTTCTCTCAAGTCCAAAATTAACTGGGCATTTCACTTCAAAGAAACGTTTACACTAATATTTAGCAAACAGAAACAAACATGAAATCTACCATTAAGTATATAAATCAGCTGGAAATTCTTGTCAATTTTCTTACCTTTGAAAAGTTTAGTGTGAACCAACGCGCAAGGAAGTACGCATGTCTGGTACGGTTAACGGCAAACTGGGGGACATTTACGACACTAAAATCCTGGTCACTTCCGTGACGATCGATAACTTATTGATATGGATTATTAATAGAAATAATTTTCATAACATTCTGATCCATAATTATCGATGAAATAAGCACAAAAACTGCTCCACTCAGTTATAAAATATGGCGGTTTTTACGACAGTTTTGTGCCAGTTTACGGCAGCCATAGGTCAGAGGATCGTGTAGTGAACGTTTTTACAAAGATGCCTCGCGAAACCAGGTAAAACTCGACTTTCTTTCCTCTTATTTCTCCTCAAGAAGATGTAAAGTGTTCTCAGAGCTTCTCTCTAGCCTATGCAGAAACGATCGTATTTTTACCCGCTCAGAAATGGGTGAAAAGAGAGGCATATCTTGAAGCAAGCAGCACACATAAAATGGGGGAGGGGGGCGATTTGAGCTGATCGTTTTGCAACAAGTTTTGCAAGAAAACATATCACATACTTGAAATCACGATTGGTTCTTGCTTCCCAGCGAGCTTTTCTGATAGGAATACAAAAAACTATGAATTTATTTCGAATGGCCTTTTCGATGATTTTTCAGTTTTAATGACAAGCTCAGCAGCCGGCAGCCTTAGCTAAATTTCTTAATAATTGTCCGCGAATGTCCCATATAAGAATTATTTTGTTTGAAAATTATGCTGTTGTTGTTGAAGTTGAACCCAAATAATAAGACCATAGACCATGTGTAATCTTGTATAATGTTACGTGAATGTTGAAACGCCATCCACAAACTTGCAGAAACAACAAAATCTACATTACTACACTTTTGTCAGCAAGTTACTGTATGTTGTGAACCCACTGTGAACCATATGTGCATTACCATACAAGAACCCCCCTATCATATAAGTAGACTAGTCCTGTTACACAACCCCCTATCTTAGAAGTAGAATAGTCCAACCCAGGAACCTGACTCTGGTGCTAGGAGTCCTGGAGGCAACACAATAAACCATCAAGCTCCACAAAAGTCCAGTGTGCGACCAGTTCTTTACAATCCAGAAGAACCTCTTCACAACAAATGGCGTCACGGACAGGATTGTACTGACGGTCAGCACGATATCGATGCACAGAACTGTACCCATCCGGCCAAACTCACCGCAGAGCTGACGACTTCCAGCTCCACCATGTGCCAAGCTGCTGTGGGAGGGTGAGTAAGACCATGGCCATTCTGTCACTTTATCCTGGACCCAGAAACCTCAACATCGTACCAGCCTCCAGCAGAAATACACCCTACATTCAAGATACAGTCTTCTATGGGTTCGAAACATCCGATACCACGTGAAGGAAGGGAAGAACTGTCTCCAGTCTCCAAACCCCACTGACAGCACGGGTGGTCTAGTGAGCTGCCGATCTCGTCGGGTGGAACCAGGCTAGCGAATACGGCACTGTATCCGGTCTCCAACGTCCACTGCCAGCAACGGGCGGTCACGCAAGCTTCAAGTCGTCGGGTAGAAATTCATGAGACAGAGGTCAGCCCCATCTCCAAACTCTACTGACAGAACGATTTGTAAAGTAAGCTGCCGAACTCGTCGGGTGGAATCGGGAGGCGAGTGAATGCAGGCACGTGTCCAGTCTTCAGGGTCCACTGCCAGAAACGGGCGGTCAAGCAAGCTTCCAGGCCTCGGGTGGGACAGAGTCTTAGGAACGTTCGGGAATCCTTCATTGTTGGTGTCAGGCCCAGCAAGACCACACACTAAGACTGTACTTATGCAAGCAAGCTTCCAGTTGAACTGTAGCCTCTAGCAGAAACATTCTCACATTTATATTCTTGGACTCTTTACAGCTAGCTAGATTTACATTTTAACATTCCTGTAAGTGTTTATTCTAGAACTTTGTCTTTGCAAAGTTTCCTTTCCCATGCATGCCATGTGGCCTGAGCAAGATGTGTTCAGACCAGCCCCTGATTGCCCCACCACATGTGGTAGCCATTAGCCCTGTTCAAAAACAACAGGCCAAAGTAAAATATTTACAGTTTCCTGTCTCTTGGTCAGTGTGGCAACAATTTAGTGCTTCAGTGTGCCAAACATTCAGCTGGTTCACTTTACGTTGGCCAGGGTTTGTTTTCTGATGTATAAATCATAGCTACACCTTGATCCATGTTTTTCTACCTCCATTGTTATACCATTTTCTATATTGTACTGTACTTCCCATTACTTATTTGGTAGACATTGTAGTAAATAATTTGTTCCTCAGTGTGCCAGGCATTCGACTGGGTCTCGTCGTTAACCAGAGTTTGCCTTCTGAAGTTCAAATAGCTACCTTGTTGTTCCAAATTTGCATTTTGTATGATACAAGTTAACCTGATTCCCAACCATTATCTGGTACACAAAGTAGCAAACTGTTCCTCAGTGTTCCAGGCATTCGACTGGGTCTCTTTGTCAACCAGAGTTTGTCTTCTGAGGTTCAAACAGCTACTTTGTTCCACGCCGTATCATTTTCTGTAACTTTAATATAATACATGTACAACAATACCTATGTCATCTGTAACATAAGTAAGTAATTAACCAGTGGGTTCAACTGTTTATTATTATTATTCAGATTGACCTCGTCAATCCTCCTGTGTGAGGGGAGGTATGTTGTGAACCCACTGTGAACCATATGTGCATTACCATACAAGAACCCCCCTATCATATAAGTAGACTAGTCCTGTTACACAACCCCCTATCTTAGAAGTAGAATAGTCCAACCCAGGAACCTGACTCTGGTGCTAGGAGTCCTGGAGGCAACACAATAAACCATCAAGCTCCACAAAAGTCCAGTGTGCGACCAGTTCTTTACAATCCAGAAGAACCTCTTCACAACAACTGTATATCACTTAATATTCGCGGTACTTTTATATTCATGTTTTTTTGCGGTCACTTCTGTACCGCAAATTTGCTGCCACCGCAAATATATAGTTCCACGAACATGTCCATTTTTCTCAGACCGCGAAATTTTGCTAGTGTGAATATAAAGTGATTTACAGTATTTGAATAAAGACCGACTGAAAAAAAAATTGTCTTCACTTATTTCCTTATCAATGAATAGTTTGTGCTTATAAACTCTCAGTCACTGACGAAAGGTGGTGGATGCTAGCTAAAACGTCTGGCCGTTTTCAAAATCATATCCAGTTGCTTGAGTAACTGCTTTTTGGTGTATCTTATTCCCTGGATGTCTAACCTTCATCGACATGACTGATTGATTGATTGACTGATTGATTGATTAATTGATTGATTGATTGGTGTTTGAAACAGACACTACCGGAAGCGATCACGCTCCTCGAGTGGGTCTCCCTCCCCGTCGAAGTCTCCCGTCCCGACGAAAAGCGAGGAGAAAAGTAAACGGAAGAAGGACAAGGAGAGGTCAAAGGCCAGACGGTCCAGGTTTGTTTATTGTTTACTTCACATTAATAATCATTATTCATCACAATCACAGAAGAAAAACATATTGTTTTTCCTCTGTTTCTTCTTACTCTTCTTCTTCTCCAAACAAATAAGGTAATGACTTGAACCAGACATCTGTCACCATGGTAACTAGTGTTGGGTTACATCATGTTGCAATTTTATAGTAGGAGGGATTTAGACTCCTGTCTGACTATATATGTGAATGTGTGTAAGTAAGAATTAACAGAGCAGACCATATGTGAAGGTAGCAAATGTTACCTTTCTAGTGTTAACATTGAATTGCAGGTTACTGTACTAGTTAGTATATGCACATACATTTATGTACCTGTATGTACTACAACATGTGTTTGTTTATTCCTTGAACAGGTCCCGAAGTCGTGACAGGAAGCCTTCTCGTTCACCTGGCCGAGATGGGAAGTCACGCAAAAAGTCAAGGTGACGTGTTCAGTTTAGTCATCTTTTATAAACCTGCAGTAATTGTCAAAGTAGACAGGTGGCACTATAGTCTAGACAGGATTCTTATTGCCTCTGTCAAGCACAAGGTACCGTCTGCAATGGTCAAAATTCTGATGCAACCTTGAGTCTTGACCAAACATCCAACAAAAACTGTGAAAAATCAGGGTTTGGGGCAGGGTTCACAATCATCAAACCTGCAGTAATGGTCATATTAGCCAGGTGGCCCTGTAGTCCAGACAGAATTCTTCATGCTTATGTCAAAGTATGATGATGATGATGATGATGACTGGTTTATTTGCAACACGTGCTCAGACATACCGTTGCAGCCTTATCTGGCTGAATTAGGGCATGATACAAGTCTTAATATGTATCATACGTAATGGGCAAAATTCTCATCCAATGTTGACCAAACATCCAACAAAGCTTGAACAATTTTGGCCAGGGCCACACTGCAAAGGAGTGTTTAACTTTAATCACTGAGTGGGCTACCCTGGCTAAAGAAAACAAAAATAGATACAATGTAGAAATAAAAAAGAACAATCTGCGTTTTGGTGCTCTACCGACATGCTATCTGCACTAAGCCTTATATGCAGAAACTACAGATTCAATTGTTGACAAGTGTTTGTTTATTTGTTTGCTTGTTTGTTCTGCCCTCAGGTCGCCCGCCAGAAGGAGACGGAGAAGTTCAGGGTCACCCGGAACCTCAAGGTCACGGAGGAAATCCAGGTTGGTTTTAACTTTGAACTTTGAAATGGTCAGTCTACTGAGGAAGACCAGAGTGTACTAGTCAAAAGCTCTAGATGAGAGAACTTCTTTGTGTTGGATCTAATGTTTTACTCTAAACACGTTTGTTTTGTCTGTCCAGATCTCCCAGCTTGGAGCGGAAACGAACACCACTGAAGGTCAAGGACGAAAAGAAGTCCCCAAGAAGGTCAGAGAGTAAAGAGCGGAAGACGTCCCCCTCCCCCTCTGCTGCCATGGTAACCAAGTCTCGCTCCAAGTCGCCCGCCGCGGCTGAGAAGGCAGCGTCTCGCTCCCCCAGCCCGCAGAAGACGCGCTCCAAGTCTCCTCATAAGAAGTCGGGCTCCAAGTCACCCGTCAGAAGTAAGAAGTTTTTAGGTCACACCAATTTAATTTGTTGGTTCTAGGATTTTTTCAGAAAAAATATGAAGCGAATGGGCCAAAAAATAAAAAATAAAAACAGGTCTAAGCATTCTATTATAGCCCCAAATGCTACGATAGGAGCCAAGAAGTCAACACAAAAGGCTGGGTTAAAATTTGAAAAAGAATTTTTAATTTTTAATCAAACCACTGCATTGATAGATGGGAAAACTATAAGTATAACAACTAAAAAGAAAAGGTCTTTCTCTTTAGGACTCAGGACCTCTTGGTTCTGAGCCAAATGCCCTGTCGTTGCGCCACATGACTCCACGATCCATACTCATAGTCCATCTTTTGGTCTGTTTGTCAATAGGCCAGAAGAAGTCCCGCTCACCATCACCGGGCGTCGCCAAGAAGTCCCGCTCGAAGTCTCCGGGGAAACGGAGAAAGTCTGCATCACCTGTTGGGAGGAGGAAGCGGTCCAGGAGTCGGTCTCGCTCCCCATCGCCCGCAGTACGCAGGAAGAGGTCACGCTCAAGGTCACGCGACAGGGACAGGAAAAGAAGGTTGGTCTTAACTTTTGTTCCCTTCTTTCAATAAGCTTCTGTGAATTGATTCACAGATTTCTTGCTTGTGCATGCATACATGTATATATCTGTATGTCATGTTCCTCATGTTATGTTATTTCTCTAAGTAAAGTGCGTAGATAAATGTAATAAAATGTAAATAAAATGTAAATAACAACGAAAACCAATAAATTGAATGTAAATAAAAGAATAAATAAATAAAAACTGTGTCACCTCAAGAACCACTAGGTTCAGAAGAGGGCTGTGAGTGAGTAAGTGAATGAATAAAAAGATGATGAATGAATTACATGTAAATAAAAGAGTAAAAAGATTTTTTCTAATTTTGTTTGTCCCCCCCAGCAGAGTGGGTAAGAAGTCTCCCCCCAAGGTCATCTCCCTACGCGACCTTCGTCGGTCGCGCAGCAGGAGTCCGGTCCGCAGACGGCTCAGCCCGATCCGTCGCAGCCCCAGGAGACGCCGCTCACGCAGTCGCAGCAAGGGTCGCAGGTCACCAATCAGGAGAAGGTCGCGCAGCCCCCGCCACAAGTCCCGCCACTCTCGCTCTCGATCACGCTCCAAGTCCCCGAAGAAAGAAGAGAAAGTGAAGGAAGAGAAAGAAGAGGTTCTTGACAAGGTACTACTTTAACTTGACTTGAATGTACCTAAAATTGCACCAGTCCTTATTTTTTATTTTACCAGTTCACCTCGATAAATTATCATTGCACAATGGTATACATGTACAAATATTCTTGACATAAGAGTAGTTAGAAACCATGATACAAACCTTTGTTGTCTTACTGAAAAAATGGAAATCAGCTGAAGAATTTCATCTTCAATGCCTGAACAGAGGCAGGAAGGTTTGTAATCAGGCTTTCCTGATTTTTGACTTTCTTTTATGCTGTACAACTATATTAAAAAATGTTAATTTCAAGCCCTGTAATGAGTTTATTGTTAATATTTCCCTGTAAGGATGCTGAACAGAAGCGTCTGGAAGAGGAAATGATTCGGCGCCGAGAGCGAGTGGAGAAGTGGAGACAGGAGAGGAAGAAACAGGAGGATCTGCAGCGGGCTCAGGAGGCAGCACAGGAGGAGGCTGCTAAGGTAAGGTCACCATGGTAACTGGTGCTGTAGCAGTCACCCTGTGGTGTTGGGTTACATTATTGTGTGGAGAAGTGGAGACAGGAGAGGAAGAAACAGGAGGATCTGCAGCGGGCACAGGAGGCAGCACAGGAGGAGGCTGCTAAGGTAAGGTTACCATGGTAACTGGTGCTGTAGCAGACACCCTGTGGTGTTGGGTTACATTATTGTGTGGAGAAGTGGAGACAGGAGAGAAAGAAACAGGAGGATCTGCAGCGGGCACAGGAGGCAGCACAGGAGGAGGCTGCTAAGGTAAGGTTAACCTGCTGTTTGAGGTTGCTAAATTTGAAAAACACAACTTCACTCTCTCTCAAATCTTACTGTCCATTTCACTGAGGGTTAGACACATTTGCACACTTATGCTGAGGCTTGATGGCAGCCCGACACTTGCCTCTATCCTGTGGGTTTACGTTATGTACATGTACATGTAAGTTTAGGTGGTGGAAGTCCTCCCTTACATTGTCATCCATTTCGTCCTTGGTCAACACACAAGGGTTTTAGCCTTCCACATCCAGTGTGAGGATCTTCCTAGGCCATTTGTCACAGTCCATTCTTAACAGTTATAAGTTATGTAATAAACTATGTCAATTATTTAACTGTTATAGAGATCTTCAGCTGTCTTAAGTGCAAAATTTGAGCTGTCTTCTCGTTCCTCCCAGATCGGTAAGAAGTGGAGTCTGGAGGATGATGAAGACGACAGTGAAGAGGAAGAGCAGCCGATGGAGACCAACGATGAGGATGATGATGATGATGATGAAGAGGGCAAGGTTTGTTATTTCCCTATCTATCGGTACAGCAATAACACCCGCAACCATATCGCATATGGCAGCACCCATCTCCATTTCGTAGCCTTTGGACCACACAGTTGTGAATCACTACAGCAGGGGGCTAGTCCACTGGTAGTGGTGTGTGTTCAACTCCCAACTCCCATACGTACAGGCCACTACAGCAGGGGGCTAGTCCACTGGTAGTGGTGTGTGTTTTAACTCCCAACTCCCATACACACAGGCCACTACAGCAGGGGGCTAGTCCACTGGTAGTGGTGTGTGTTCAACTCCCATACGCACATGCAGGCCACTACAGCAGGGGGCTAGTCCACTGGTAGTGGTGTGTGTTTAACTCCCAACTCCCATA